CAGCGATCGATGACACGCGTCAATTGCACGAGACGAAAAAAAATGACGACATTGTTTAGCTGGGTGCTATCTGAGATGCATGACCGCTTGTATCGCACAGACTGACAGTGAAATGAGATGCGTTCGTCAGAAATAGAAATCATATAAGACAGAAGGCGCAAAATACATAAGCGAAAATCGTAGCATAATAAAGAACGTTAAGTTCCGGAACACCTTGGACGTAAAAAGGATAAAATGACAAGAAAACTGGTCATAAGCATTCGCGTGAGTTTTTAACCTTAACCTCTTACTCACACTGATTTGAACGTTCCAATCTACCTTTTACTCTTTCATCCAAATGGGCAGTCACGAAACAGCAACCAAAATCGGCGCACAAAAGTACATGATTAGTGGCTGTACAAACTGAAAACGGATTGTTTTTACCTTACCACTTATTAATAATTAATTATTTCATTATTGACACATTCAGACAATATTCACGAAAGTGGCTGAGCGGGTAAATACCGAAACCAGGAAGATGGGTCGCCGTGGCCCGGTGTGAACTCACGAATTCCGTGTGGTTGTGGTGACCTGGACCACCAACGTCCGCTTTCAGGTGCCAAGAGAGAAAATGAACTTATGCTGTTTACTAATTTAGTGATGAACACTGGAAGGAATGAACCCTCATAGGCTCAGAGACGTTGTGTTTAGTTAAGAAACCCGTGACCTGAACACAGTGACTGGAAATGGCTTATTGGACTCGTGCCTGGTCACGCTAGGCTAAGTAAAAAAAAGCTGCCTTTAACAACTGTTTTAGCGGCTGTTTACAACCATTAGGCTCGGACATTATTCAAATCAACTCAGACACAGAGCAGACACATTATGACTACGCCATGAAGGCGATCGCCCCACTAAAAGAATGGATGGTTGATGACAGACGTAGTTTGATTAGCTCCGAAGAATGAATCGATGATGCACGTGCCGTTTCATTGCAATACACAAGTATCTCACACAGGCGCAAGAGTGCCTCGCCCAATGCGCTTTGTTAAGTGGCGTAGACAACGGAGATCGAAAGCATAACAGTTTGATGTCACGAACCAGCAATGACTGAGTTTTACAATCGACAATGGAGGCGAAACTTCTAAGAACATGCATTACATACCAAAGGATAATCTCACTGCAACAAATAAACAAGTTTAGAATGCACAGTTGAACTATATATATCATCGGCAGTCAATTCTGACAATTGATTCCAGTTCCACGGCTTCGGTGAGTACCTTAGTACAAGTTGGGATCATTTGCACTGTCTTGTGTGCTCAAAATACCAGGCTCCTGACCACGGGGAAAGGGTAATGCGAATAGTATCATCCAACAGGGCCACGCTTTGCCGGAAGCATAAGCGAATGACTAAAACAGCCCAAGAAGTGGTGCGAATCTATCGGACATCCCATCAGCGATGACTTTGTATTAACGGGGCGTAATATAGATTGTAGTTTAGCGGAACCGATGGGGTTGAGTGTTGGAATTCGTGAACGTGTTTCTCAAACGGCGAAAATCTGGCTAACAGAATCCCTTGAAAGGGGCGGAAGTTAACCTGACACTCTTTCGCACAGCCCTGAAAACGAATGCGAAAGGGATTAAACCAATATATCCCAAAGAACATATGCACCACTCTGGTTGATTGTTTGATTGACCGTTTGGGTATATTGCAAGACGAATGGAAATCGCTTCAAAGATAAATAAAGCTTCGGTTTAACGTCCAAAATTCGATAGCGAATGTGGTGGATAGCCAATAGCAACAGGTAGACGGAGTGCATTGGGAGAATCGGAACCAAAGCATAGAAACCACGCAATGTGCCCCTTCCGAATCTTATACGACGCTCAGATCTTTCCATATTTGATAGAGATTTTGATATACAACAGTGTGAATGACATACCCGGTTCGGTTCGAAAACCCGACGAGGCTTCTCACAGTTTCAGGATTGGATGAGATAAAAAAAATCATCCAATATACTAAACAATTACATTCAGTGTCACTCCACCTTTGTCCCAATGGACCGGTAGGCTGATAACCTATCATGTTTCTTAGTTCGTGAAAAACGATTCCTACGTTAGAGTGTTCTGCGAGCTATTGAGAGAAAAGTGCGAACTGCTTCTTAAATTTTGTTTGAACTGTGTTGCATAGCACGAACCCGGGTGATAACCCTCTGCTTGACTTAAGAAAGGTAAGTTGGTTTTACCCGTAACCCGTGGTGTATGGGGTAACCGGTAGGAGTAGCACCTTTGACTCGGACGGCTATCGGCCCCTCTGGGGTATCCTTCATTCTTTGGTCTTCACTGGGTGCTCAGCTGTCAGATGTAGCTCCAAGAAGCTGTCTGGATGCAACNTGCAACAACGGTCACAACCGGGTAAACCGCTCGATAGGCGGGTCGAACTAGGTTCAGGGTAACTGGGAGCACAATTCCCGGCAAGTCGCATCGCGAAAACGAAGTGGCTTACACAATTTAACGATCAAGACAACGGCTCCGTATTCATCAGGGCTGCATGAACCCATGTTCAGATGGAAACTTTATTTTTTGGATCGGCGCGATTTGTGCTTGGTTTTGTGGCACACTTCGGTCAGTTAGTTTCGGGGACCTGACTTGAGCAATACGACCCCATCCAATGATAAACGTGTGTTTGATGACAAACGGCATTCCTAGATTTGCTAAGTTTTACTTCGAGAAAATACGATGAACCTTTGTCAGAATCATCCATAGCTACTTGTAGTAACGGTATGATGATCATGACCTCAGCACCGAGTCAATCTGCGAACGTTCCGGTTTTGCTCGAGAATACTTGCGAGTTAGCTTATAAAACCGCCATGGTCTACGCCGCTGCACATCGTCCACGATCACCTGTTTCGCGAGGCCATGCCCAGATATTTATCAGTTGAGCGACCACAGCTCCACCTATGAGTGGATTCCTATCAATTCAAGGCCATCTGCACAAAAACAACTGAATTTAAGATCAATTCCTTCCCTGAAAATTTTATTTTACTATTAAGATGCCTTCACACTAATGGACGAAGCCAAGTCCCAGTTTATGGCACTTTTTCCCCAGATTTCACCACAAGAAGGGTCACTCTCTCTCTCTCTCTCTCTCTGTCCTTTTCTGTTTAACTTTGTCACAGACTTGATTCTGGAAACAGCTCTGTTCTCAAGCAAGGATATTGGCATAGATTGCTGTAAGAAGACAGACTGTCTGACACGGAGTATGCGGACGACACAGCAAGTTGTTCTGGATAGTTTGAGTGCTATTGTAGCTATATTTGGTATGGGTTTTTCACTTGCAAATTGTTGCTACAGGACTGATCTGGTCCAGCTCTCAATCTCACTCTTACTAGGTTAAATAATACAGGTGAACAAATTTTGCTAGCTGGGCAGTCACATCTATCCTAGGGGACGCATCACTGATGAAGTGTTGGCTCATATACGAAATTCTCGACTGGTATTTGCCCACGTATCTGCCCACCCATCTGTAGCATCATCGCGACACTCGGCTGTCTGTGTAGGGTCAAGTGTATGCTGCAAATGGTGCAAAAAGTTGACGATCAAAGGTATAGGGTACAGATAAACTGTGTGCCGAATTGCACGAGTTCAGTGGGGAAACCGGACATGCAATGCTGAAGATAGGAGAAGAGTTCTGATTGAACACAGGCATCCGGTGGGGCACGTGAACAAATTACGTTGGTTGGGGTATAAGTTACACGGGTCACGAAAATGGTTACCACGGCGTGCGATGTTTGTCGATGAAGGTGATGGTCAAAAAAGCAAAGAGCGGTCAAATCAAAACCTGGTATGAGTGTATGGAAACCCTGACTAGGAGAGTTGCTCATATAGGCCACGTTAGGTTTTCTGGATAGAGATATCGGGATTAGTGTAAACAATGGATAGAGACATTGAGGGTTATGGTTGTCATGAACAGTGGTGCCTGTCTATCCATTCCTTATTTTTGCAACCACAGTCTCTATTTTCATATTGACAGTATTTTTAACGTTCCAATCTTCATTCTGCTCCTTCAACCGAAACGGGCAATCAAGGGACAGCAGTCAAATCGGCGCACGAAAGTGCACGATTAATGGTTATAAAAACTGAAACACATCTATCTAACGGAACAGATTAACTCGGTATTTAGTATCAAGTTAGCTCGGATTCTGATGCTACAGTCACCATGATGAACATGATGAATACTGTGACACTAATGACACCAGAACGCTGATCAGTCCGCAGAATTTCTCGTCAACCAAAAACTACCACACGTAGAGAACCTTTAGATGAAAAACCAAGTAGGTTTTATCTTTTTCATCTATTTGGTTCATCAGCAAATCTATAAATGCAGCTTACTTTCAATAAACGGTACTGAAGTCACACCCAATCGAAGTTGAGCATATTAAGTGCCAATCGCAAGATGTGAAATTCAACAACAATGAACGCTTGTTGCGTAATGCCGTATAAAGTGTATGAAGTGAGAGAAGAAGCGTGAGAGAGAGAGAGAAGATATGGCAACAACAAGATAGTACAAAAACGTTGACAGATTAAGTTAAACATGTACAGATTTTACCATAGTTTGTCACAGCAAGTGATATAGCGGTTAAACACGCGCGGTAACCTCAAGTCACATGTGAGCTGCACACCAGCTACTGCATATATCCCAATGGTAAGAACGTATGGCATAGTTATTTGTTACAGTTAATGGAATCGGGTGACACACGATGTTGCATGATTATTATTATGCCCGAGTTGTGCAGACGGGAGGGGGTGAGCGGAATGTTGAAAGAAGCACGAACAAGTAGGCAAGAAAGTCTATTCCCCCGGGGAGTGAGCGGTACAGCATCCATGCTTGCATGCACTGTTTTTTTTCTCTCTCTCTCTCTGTTGATCTCTTTCTCTGTCTCCCATTCTCTTTCTCATTCCTTTCAGAACAGTGTGTCGGCAAACTGTAAGCACTGCCAGGACGATGTGTTCAAACTCAGGGGTACAGTGCAAAACACATGTGGTTTGTGTCCCATGTTCCTGTGGACAGAACAGGACAAGATGACAAACGGGGGTTCGAACGGTTCACGGCAAACTCATCCATCCTTCTAGTTTGTTATCATCATTCTAGTTTATGGCTTGTTAACGTGTCGTTTGGTAATAAAAAGTCGTCAAAAGGGAACAACTAGAACCAGATGATTACACTGCTGGTGTTCTGGTTCCAAGAACTAAACTGAACCAAACTGGTCCACATAGTGGGTATTTCAACTAGAAAACACACGCGTACACACGGGTCGAGCTGATCGTTTTTACGAGTTAGATACTCAGCAATACATAATAGACTATTATTGGACTGTGTTAGATAACACGAATGTTGCTATCGCTATCGCTAAATATTAAAAGCAAAAATAAGAACATTCCACGATTTTCACAAAAACAAATTTTTCCCTAGGCGCGATATATAAATTGTGCGGAGGAAAAAAAGAAACGTACCTTCACAGACGAGACAGTCAGGATTGCTCGAGTTGTCATTTTCCTCAGGATAATATTCGGGATTGGTGATTGGCACAATTTTGGTGAGGGAGATTTGAACCCAAAGCGGAAGGTCAGGAGGAATGGTATTGATCCACTGTTGCACGAAAAGCATGCGCTCCTATTACCGGTCAAGTGTGTCAAAGAGAGAGAGAGACTTAGTTCGATCAAATGGATAACTTCTCGTGAGCCAAATAAGAATATGGCATAAGGCACATATGCGTATGTCACGATGGGCACGGTCAGGCTGAAAAGTTACCAACAAATGCGATCAGAGCAGCAGAAATAAACATTCTCGAAAACCGGAAATAAATTCATCGACTTCTCTTTCTGCAAAATTCTGAAGTAAATTCATGGCTGAAACTGTTTCCTTCAGAGTGCCACCCACACTGTTAGTTTATTTCTTCTATTATGCAATAGGGTACCTAGAAAAATCACAAGAGTACGTGGTGGCTGTGTCTGATCTTTAAATAGAGTCATTGCTCCTTGTCTCTGTGTGAGACACTGTATTCTAGCGGACTGAAATTCTCGGTCACTGTCTCTCCCGGAAGCTCTGGGAGTGTTGGACACCTGGATTGAATCAATTAAAATCGCATAAACTGAAACATCTGTCACCGGCTCACGAAAGGTTGCAAACTCTGTCTCGATATGTTACTTTGCAGACCAACCCCTTTCGGTCAAAGGTTTGCGGTGGGGTCGATTAAAGACAATCTCTTACTTCCGACTGGAGAGCAAGACACGACTTCGATGGAAATGTCCTCCTCCTTCATTGAAAAACTACACGACTAAGTAGATTTGATTGATTAGCTCATATTACAGGGTAACAAGAGCACGCGTCTGTGAAAAGATTCGACGAAATTCCTCTTTGTTTCCGGCGTTCGCCAGGGCTATCTTGTCATCAATCCTATGCAACTACGTCACACAATCAGTAATCCATTGAGTTCTTATCGACAATTGAGGAATCTACATCAGGCACCAGATCTGGGTCACGGACCTCGAATTTGCAGACTTGTTTTATTAGAGGACCCTAAGTCTAAATTCGATACCTAACTGTACCGAATGTGAAGCCCATACATTCGGTTTTGATTTAAACAACTCAAAAAGGAGTTCTTTATAACTTCCTTAGACTCGGGACGTGCAATTCACATCAACAGTGAAACACTACAACACAAGTGTGCCACTTCAAATACATGGGCTCCTCCAGCCAGCTAACCGGCCAGACCACAGACAGAATCAAGCTTCACATCGATCGAGGAAGGAGAGAATTCCTCCAGCTTTACGAATGACCATGGTTACACAGTGAAATAAGCTTTCACACGAAACTATGCCTTTATCAAGAGGCCATGTGGCTCGTCCTCACGTATTTCTGTGAAAAGTGGAAAAAAGGAAATTTCAAACCATTGATGCATTTGCCTAAAATTAAGCGATATGACCGTATTTCGAAATTCGCCGTGTCCTCGTTTACTAACGAGGCCATCCTCCATGGTTAAGTCATGTACCCCACCGGTGAGAAGAAGGACTAACAAAGAAGTCTACTGTTCCATGTTGCATAATAGGACAGTACAAGTAAATCGCAATTGGCTCCAAAATGGGCGATGAGATAATCTGGTCCACTTGGAACACAAAACAAGCCTTGCAATCAGGTTATAACAATTGACTGTTGGAAAAAATAATCCATAGCATCAATATATAAATGATGGTTATCAAAGGAGTAGCGCAATCAAGACGTCGCTCTCAGAGAAATGATCTCAATTTTAATGGTCAACCTCTGAGGGATTTGGGCAGGGGTTTACGTCATTGAACCCCATCCTTAAAAGCGAAGCCCAAAAAAGCTAAGCAAAACCGCCTGAACTGTTTCGCCCAGACCGATACCAGACAAGTAAATGTGAGAGAATAACGAGCAATCATTCATTTTTATGGCGAACTTTGTCGTGCACGGGGCAAATGCGGCTTGAACCGAAACAACCTGATTTGGGTTCC